GCCGTATTCAGCAACATCCTTTTCTCTACTTTTCTATGGCAACTTTAAAGCGGCTTGAAACACCACGCAGAGTAAACTTGTTTATTAAACACAGTGAAACGAAACCGTGGCCTAGCGTTTCGAACAGTATTTCACTGTTCTTTGTCAGCAGTGTCTGTACGAGTTCTCCTACCGGATCGGTACACCGAACACCCGTGGGTCTCGTACGGACCCTGCTGAAGAAGAGCAGTGAAATATACGCTAAGCTAGTTGTGAACGCTTAGAATAGTTTATTGAACTGTTTCGATTTGAGTGGTGTTGCAAGGCGTTTCAGAAACGCTATGGAAATATGTAACTACTCACGTAGCAAACAATTTTTCAGGTCCCTCTATACTTGTAATCAGTATGAGTAAACAATAATAAATAGTTTAGTGAATCATTTTCCTGTCTTTCAGTGTAACGTCCATAATTTAGGCTTGAAGTTCTGTATAGGACTGACTTCAAACAGATTGGCTTCAAACGTCTTTGAACCTGGTAATGAACGAACCAGGCGAACAATAGTAATGCTGTGAAAGTTGTTTCCTTTTGCTGTAATGCAGATGAGTTTCGAACGCAATTTATATACCGTTATGGAGAAGATAGAGATCTAATGTTATCCTTATATAGCGAGGGCTCTTGGCAGTGTATTGAATGCAAAGTCCGCCCACGTGCTGATGATCTTACGCCATGGCGTGGATCGATAAGTCTTGCACTTAAGACTACGTAGCATACGGGAGCAACTGAAACATTCATCGGGATGTTGCAGCTTTTAACAAACTACCAAGAGAAGTCCTTGGGAACGGCAAAACTCGAATGTGCATTGTATGATATGAGATTAGCAACTTTCCTTCCGCTCTTCTTATTCTTTCACTTAGTATTATGATCACCTTAATGATGCTGCTCATATCCTGAATCAGATCTTGTACAGAAGATTTGCCATGCATGGAACTTCTACCGACAGTCGTATTTTTGGTCAAGATTATGGATGATATTTTACAATTGTTTTGCTGAAAAATTGATTTCTGACGCTGCCGAAGAAAAACTCTACCGTTGCTGGTCCAAAGCCCGGTTGAGGAAGGAGAAAGGTTGGAGACCGTGGCGAGTCTCCATAAAATTTAGCCACCTGCGAATGGTATTGACGCCATGGAAAACTATACCGGCTCGGTCGTCGCCCGGGTTACAAAGGGCCGCGCAGGCTGTTGGGGAACTGAGGCAGACTGCGAAAAGTCGGCGATCAAAACCTGCTTATTGCCCTTTGCGAGCCAGGGACGTAGCAGCACAACAATGGCTGACGAAGACCGACGGAGTCGCTACCCGTTTGAACGGAGGAGGCAGGCAGCGCGATGCCATTCTAGCAGTCAGAAAAGGTTCCACGAAAACGATACCGCAAGCTGGAGTTTACAGTCGGAAATTGGAATATATCCTCATTCAGAGGGAAAGAGCAAGAATTAGTTGATGAGGCTATAAAGTACCGACCCGACATTGTTGGATTCTCGTCAACGAAGCGCTAAGACTTTGGAATCCTGAACCCAGCGAGTGGAAGCTGTTCTGCTCAGGTGTCGATATCACGACCCGCGCTCTGTAAGCGGAAGGGTGGTAATCCTCCTACTGTAGCTGCAAAAGACTAAAGCGTTCACCTTGGTACAGGTCTTTGCACCCAATTTGAGGGACAATATTATACATTCCTTGAAGAAGTGCAGTGTATTCTGTCCGAAGTGCCGAATACAGAGTCCCCTAAACTTCTGGACGATGTTAATGCGCGTGTCGGAGTCGACGCTGAAAAGTGGAACGGCGTGATTGAAAAAAAAAACGGTCCTAGCGATGTCAACAATAACGGCGTGAAGTTGTTGTGGTTTTGTCCAAACAACGGACTGTCCATTATGAATGAACAAGTTCCTCGAACATCGAAGCGTGCATCAGTATGTCAGGTACAGGGAAGCCTGTGCACAGAAATCCGTGCTCCATTTGATACTCGTGTCGTCTCTCTTAAGACGCTCAGTAATGGATGTTCCCGTTAAGAGGGGCGCAGAACTATCACCAATTTATTGTTGGCACGCTGCGCTGTAAGAAACGATTTGGCGGTGGAAGCAACCAGAGAATCAAATGGGAAACGTTTTCTTCGGTGGACACGAAAGCGAAATTTGCAAACAGCATCGCACGACGGTTTGAACAGATCCCAGTGACGACAACTGATGTTGAAACCGAGTGGCAGCTCTTTAAAAGCGGCCTACTCGAGGCTGCTGGCGAATGCTGCGGTTATAAAGGAGTTGGCCTGCCGCCTGGATGTCAGAAAATATCTACATGGTGGACACGAGAGGTACAGCTGGCAGTCGAACAGAAGAAAGCAGCGTTCAAGAAATGGCATGAAAACAAGGAGCCATCTACTCGAGTGTGACATGTGGAGGCATGCAGGCGAGCAGGAGCAAAAGCCAAGGCTGATTCCTTGGAGAAGTTCGGTGAGGTGTTGGAGTCGAATTTCCGCACGGCAAACAAAGTATTCTGGTGACCATCCGCTGGCTCCGAGGTGAAAAGTCGGGCAGTCTCAGAATCTTGAAGGACAGACCTGGACACCCTCTTACTAGGGATGATGACATTCTTCGGCGATGGAGGGAGTACGTTGAG